GGCCCCCCTAAGTTGTGGGTGTGGGCCCCTGTAGGGTCTCCCCTGTTTGTTTTGCTTTTGGGTTTCGCCCCCTGGTCTCCCCACCCTGTTATGCTTCTGTTGGCCTTTTATTGGGGCTGTGGCGTAGCTAGGTTCGGCGACATTAGCGCCGGCTCGCTCAGCCACGGGTCCCAAATTTTGTGAAAGTGGCGTGACGTTTCGTGGACTAGGGCTGAGATTCTGTCCATTTCAATGGCTTCCCTGGTTTTGCGGATGATTGTGGATAGAGTGGGGACCTCCGGGGTGCCCCAGAGTTCTGCTATCGCCCTCCTTGTTGCCAGAGCTGTTTGCTAATTTGTTTTGGGCTCTGGTTAAAGGTTCCCAGGGTTTGGATAGGAGCCAGATCCATGGGTCTAAGGGTATATCTGTGTGGAGTAAGCTGGAGACCAGGCGGGCCACCTCTGCCCATAGCGGTGCTAGTTTTGGGCATTGCCTCCATTGGTGTATGTATGTTCCCCTTTGCCCACACCGTTTCCAGCAGAGGTCCGAGTCGGTCTTACCCATTCGGTATGGCATACGATTTTAAGAAGTATTCTAAATGTGGTATTTTTAGTTGTTTGGTGTAGTCACTTTATAATGGCTGGGCTTAACGGAAGCAGGGATAGAGCAAGCTCATGTGAATACAGAAGTCATGAGTAGTCGGTATAACAAGCCAATAAGTCAGTACAAGCAGCTAACAAAGCGTAGTCAGGACAAGACAAGGTCAGAAATCCAGAATAATCAAACAAACTGACAACGTCCCATACAGAATAATTCAATAGTTTAGCTCTGTATGGTAGGCTCTGAAACTGTTGTGCAGAGAGCAGGTAGAGATGGACAGGAAAGGCAGTAATAACTGGAGTGCTTTTGGATGCCTTTTCTATAGCAAACACGACACTTTCTCTGAGGTTTTTAAACAGGGAGGATTGGGGGGACTGGGTAAATAAAATATCAGATAAAAGTCCAAACATATATTCAACAAATGGCTATGGCTTCCCTATGGCTGCTTTTTTATACAGCACATTGGAATTGAAAATTGCAACTCGACTTAAATAGATTGCACTTTTTTTGTACCAGGACCTGCTTTTTTGGTTCACCAGATAATGCTGTATACATTGATCAGCCAAGTCTACTTGCCCCATATTCTTCCTGTAGCCTACAATGCACTTCAGTTTTTCCAGTTGCTCCATTCTTCCTCTGAAGAAAAGTACAGGACAGGTACGTAAACAGTAGACAAGCCAAAAGTCAATGAATAAAAAAGTCAGAATAGTCAAATAGCAAGCCAAAGTCAAAATACACACAAAACAATACCATAAACGTTCTCTTGGATAACTACAATAGAGACAGTGACAGGGCACTGAGAAATGTTCAAAAAAGGTTAAAATAGCTAAGATACTCTAAGATTGGCTGCAGGGGAGTATATGACATTGGAAAGTGCATGTGTGACGTCACATGCATGTTCCCAATGGTCTGGGACTATGGGGTTACCTCGGAGGCTTAAAAGGATCTGACTTGCAGTGGCCGGTATCTTTAATGATTTCAGACCCGACCACTGCGTGAAGAGAGGAGCACGAGGATCGCCCTTCGCATCCAAGAATGTGCTCGGAGTGAATCTGGTGGGCGCCATAGGAGTTGGGTAAATATGTGAACATCACCGCAACGAGATGCACCCACCAGGTCCGTGACTGTTCTCTGACAGGTTGCGGATCCAGCAGGCACCGTGACACATGTAGACATCTTTCACGTCAATGTCAACAGAAGGGCCAGCACCTCCCCTTGTTAACATTGAAAAGGCATTTTTACTTACCTTATTTCCCACTGCACACTGATCTCCATCTGAGATCATCAATCTTGATGAACCTAGCCAATCCAATGGCACATACCAGCCTAACGTGGTGCTGCTCTAATCAGTGTCTCTTCATAGAGATGCATTTAATCAGTGTTCAGTGTCTTCATGCAGAGCATAGTTTTTGCAGGACCAAACCCAGAAAGTACCTCTTGTGGCTGTGAGAGTGAAATGTTCGGCCTACAGGGACAGGCTCTGTGCTCCAGATACACTATACTAGATGTTTTTTCTATATGGTTAGTGTGTGTTGTGCAAACTATTGTGTTCTTAGGAATTTTAGGCCAGTAAATGTCTGTACACTGCAGTAATCTTTGCAAAACATTTGTTATATCAGACAAACCAAACAGGTTCCTTTTATAAGTGTACGGTAGAAAGCATACAGATCAGGCTGTGCCTAAAGCCCGACACTCCTCTTGCGTGTTACAAATATCTACGTTTGTTTGTTTAGCTGGGTTTGGACAGGACCTTGTTTACATGTGTCTGTCTAGGAATAGTTTATCAATTGAATCACCTTGCTGCATACCTCTCTACAGTTTAATGGAGAAAGAGGGACACTTTTATTTTAGGGGTGTGAGGGAGGGAGGAAAGGTGGCCAGGGGCAGGCTCTTCTGAGAAATGTTGGGTGACTTGCTAATGGCAATATATGAAAATTTAAATATAATTTAGAACAAGAACAATGTATTTTATTGACACAAACTGATTTCTAAACACATGTATTGCTGTGGAGCTCTGTTATTCACTCAGATACACCAACAATATGGAGCTCCAATGTACCCACAGGTTTTTCTGTTCCTTAAATGTCGCAAGACAAGAGGCATATCTATCATATTTCGCAAATCCCTACAGTGTACTTTCCACATAATTAAGAACAACAAGGGAGGTCACAAGAGATGACATCAGTTAACATGTATCTGAATATTGTATATACTGTATGGACTGCATTCAGCTCCATCATTCAGATATTGATTGCTCTACCCCTATAGAAGCAGAGAGGGATGGAGACATAGTAAACTATTTCAAAAGCTACAACATCAATATAGAATGTATGATGTCTGTCAATCATTTGATTAGACATCACAAGAATACTCATATTTTTTTCTCATGTACACTCTTTAAATATAGTAGAATAGACTACTTTTTAACAAACTATTTGGCTCTTCCGCTGGTACTATCCCTGACCTATTGACCAATATTCCTGGTCAGATCAAAGTCCATTTGTGCTACGCATCCAAGTCCTGTGTAGTAGAGAGTCATTTATCCTCCATCTCACGAACTCAAGGGTTCTACACTTATTGGAAGAATGCACATTCTTTCTTACTGTACTGCTGCTTTCATTCCTACACTGCTGAGCTGTGTCTCCATAAACCTTATGGTAGGTCATGTTCAGAGGCCATTTAGTTTGTATGCTATCTAAAAAATATCAGAAAAAGCAAAAGTTGATAGATTTAAACATACAATTACAACAGTTAACAGAGAGTTATAAAAGAAGCCCATCAGAAACAAATTTCCAGGCCTTAAAGAGACTTAGATAAAAAATTAATAATGTAGTATTAGCCCAGTGTTAATGCTCAGATAAATGGAATCCAAATTCCACACTGAAGGCAACAGAGCAAGGTGAATGTTAGCAACTAATTTCTGTAAACTATTAAACTCATCTGGACCATATTTGCTGGATGGATCTGCAAGCCATGTTAAATTTATGTCCCCGTTTTTATAGTTCATTGTATAATCTGAGGGACTGCCCGCAGACTTACCAACCAAACCCAGAAGACATTGATGGGTTTCCTAATATTAAGAAACCCAATACAAACTATAAGATCTCTCCCGTACGGAAATTCGGCAAACACTGATGGATACTTAGCACTTTACTACAGAAAGATGGCAAATATCTTTACTCCTTCCATGTTAGCTTTCTTTAACAGCTGCATGATTAAAGGCAGACTGCCGTGGAAAAATTAACAGTGTACGTAGTGGCATTATCAGAATCTTGCAAACCCCTACAAAATAAGCAAATTTTCTATCTACTTCTCATCTAAACGCTTACTATAAGATTTATACCAAAATCTTTGCTAACCACCTATCAGTCATAATGCCCAACCTCATCTCTTTTGACCAAGTTGGTTTCATTAACCCCTTAAGGGCCAAACTTCTGGAATAAAAGGGACTCATGACATGTCAGACATGTCATGTGTCCTTTAAGGGGTTAAAGGGAGACAGGCCTCTGATGCCACTGAACGGGTCAAAGACCTTCTAGAAGTTATATCGGAGAGAGGAGTTGGATGCCTTCTCCTATCACTCTGTGCAGAGAAGATGTTCGACTGACTACATTGGGCATACATGCACACAATACTTAAAAAATGTGGGCTGCCCAAGAGTTTACCACTGCAGTGTTGAGTTTACACCAATCCTAGTGTTAGAGTTCTGTCAGCAGTGTGTCTCTGCGAACATTTCCTATTACTAATGGAACAAGACACTGGCATGGAGCAGAACACAAGGGAGACCCAGATAACGTGAATAGAAATTTAGGGTGTTCAGCACCAAATAGCAATGTTTGAAATTTTATTTTAATTATAATATCTTATCCACAAAGTTCCTTATGTGCGTTACACTATTCACTTACACAATATGGTATTATATCCTATTATAAAGTTACTACGGCAAAGTAACACCAGGGATTCAAACATTGTGTAAAAGCTACACTTAAGACTGGACATAAATTATTGGGCATCCATCTTTGCACAGAGGCTCAAGAGATACCTTCCAAAATATCTATTATTTATGATCAAGAGACAAAAAAGACCTCTGGAGATGGAACCATTATAAGCTACTTTGGTCTGGCAGATGTGACGCAGTTGGTTAGATTTGTTTGAATCAGGACTAGGAAATCATGGGAGAAGTAAACCTCTGAAGGTAAGTCTCTGAGTATTTATTTTTACACATTTGGTGTATTATTGTATTATTAAAGCCTGCTGTCTATGGTAGTACACATATCAGTCTTAAAATGACTCCAGACACATAAACATTATTCTAGTACCACAGGAAGCCATGGTAGAAACCTACCGTGGAAAGCAATCTTAATGCATTATTCTAGCATTTGGTGTCAACTTAATTAGAAGAAAACAAACAAACAACTGCATTAATTTAGCATTAACTTTTATTGCTTTGAAGACAATAAGGGTTTCCTATGTTACTTCTCAGAAAAATAATTGGCATACAATAACTCACAAAAGTTTTGCAGCTCTAGCACGTTATTCTTTAATTGTATTGCTGGATAATCCATTTTCCTGTCGAGGGGTCCCATGCACATCGGTAAACTGGGAGTGATAACTTGGTAGGTGCTTGGGTTGTTACCACAGCTGGTGCTTGGTTAGAGACCTGAGTTGGTACTTGGTGGGTGATCTGAGATGTTACTTGGGGTATAACTTGAGCTGCAACCTGAGCTGGGACTTGAGGTGCAGCTTGCGCTGGTATCTGTGGTGCTACCTGGGCTGGTCCTTGGGGTATAACATGAACCTGAGTTGCAAACTGAGCTTGGACTTGAGATGCAACCTGAGCTGGTACTTGGGGTATAACTTGAGCTGAAACCTGTGGAGCAACCTGAGCTGGAACTTGAGGTGCAACTTGAGCTGGTACCTGTGGTGCTACCTGGGCTGGTCCTTGGGGTATAAAGTGAACCTGAGGTGCAAACTGAGCTGGGACTTGGGGTATAACTTGAGCTGAAACTTGTGGTGCTACTTGAGCTGGTATTTGAGTTGCAACCTGAGCTGGAACTTGTTGCACAACCTGAACTGGTTCCTGGGGTAAAACTTGAGCTGATACTTGGGGTAAAGCTTGAGCTGGTACTTGTGTTATAACCTGAGCAGGTACTTGAGGTGTTATTTGAGCTGCAACCTGAGCTGGGACTTGAGGTGCAGCTTGTGCTGGTACCTGTGGTGCTACCTGGGCTGGTCCTTGGGGTATAACATGAACCTGAGTTGCAAACTGAGCTGGGACTTGAGATGCAACCTGAGCTGGTACTTGGGGTATAACTTGAGCTGAAACCTGTGGAGCAACCTGAGCTGGGACTTGAGGTGCAACTTGAGCTGGTACCTGTGGTGCTACCTGGGCTGGTCCTTGGGGTATAAAGTGAACCTGAGGTGCAAACTGAGCTGGGACTTGGGGTATAACTTGAGCTGAAACTTGTGGTGCTACTTGAGCTGGTATTTGAGTTGCAACCTGAGCTGGAACTTGTTGCACAACCTGAACTGGTTCCTGGGGTAAAACTTGAGCTGATACTTGGGGTAAAGCTTGAGCTGGTACTTGTGTTATAACCTGAGCAGGTACTTGGGGTGAAACTTGTGGTGCTACCTGAACTGGTATTTGAGTTGCAACCTGAGCTGGAAATTGTGGCACAACCTGAAATGGTACTTGGGGTAAAGCTTGAGCTGGTACTTGTGTTACAACTTGAGCTTGCACTTGAGGTGCAGCTTTAACTGGAAATTGTGGTACCACCTGAGTTGGTATTTGAGGTGCAAATTGAACAGGTACTTGTGTTACAAACTGAGATGGAACTTGGGGTATAACCTGAGCAGGCACTTGAGGTGTTATTTGAGCTGGAACTTGTGGTGCAACCTGAGCTGGTACTTGATATGGAACTTGAGCTGGTACTTGTGTGACAAACTGAGCTGGTACCTGGGGTATAACCTGAGCAGTTACTTGAGGTGTTATTTGAGCTAGAACTTGTGGTGCAATCTGAGCCGGTACTTGATATGGAACTTGAGCTGGTACTTGTGTTACAAACTGAGCTGGTACTTGGGGTATAACCTGAGCAGGCACTTGAGGTGTTATTTGAGCTGGAACTTGTGGTGCAACCTGAGCTGGTACTTGATATGGAACTTCAGCTGGTACTTGTGTTACAACTTGAGCTGATACTTGGGGTGCAGCTTTAACTGGAAATTGTGGTACCACCTGAGTTGGTATTTGAGGTGCAAATTGAACAGGTACTTGTGTTACAAACTGAGATGGAACTTGGGGTATAACCTGAGCAGGCACTTGAGGTGTTATTTGAGCTGGAACTTGTGGTGCAACCTGAGCTGGTACTTGATATGGAACTTCAGCTGGTACTTGTGTTACAAACTGAGCTGATACTTGGGGTATAACCTGTGCAGGCACTTGAGGTGTTATTTGAGCTGGAACTTGTGGTGCAACCTGAGCTGGTACCTGATATGGAACTTGAGCTGGTACTTGTGTAACAAACTGAGCTGGTACCTGGGGTATAACCTGAGCAGGTACTTGAGGTGTTATTTGAGCTAGAACTTGTGGTGCAATCTGAGCCGGTACTTGATATGGAACTTGAGCTGGTACTTGTGTTACAAACTGAGCTGGTACTTGGGGTATAACCTGAGCAGGCACTTGAGGTGTTATTTGAGCTGGAACTTGTGGTGCAACCTGAGCTGGTACTTGATATGGAACTTGAGCTGGTACTTGTGTTACAAACTGAGCTGATACTTGGGGTATAACCTGAGCAGGCGCTTGAGGTGTTATTTGAGCTGGAACTTGTGGTGCAACCTGAGCTGGTACCTGATATGGAACTTGAGCTGGTACTTGTGTGACAAACTGAGCTGGTACCTGGGGTATAACCTGAGCAGGTACTTGAGGTGTTATTTGAGCTAGAACTTGTGGTGCAATCTGAGCCGGTACTTGATATGGAACTTGAGCTGGTACTTGTGTTACAAACTGAGCTGGTACTTGGGGTATAACCTGAGCAGGCACTTGAGGTGTTATTTGAGCTGGAACTTGTGGTGCAACCTGAGCTGGTACTTGATATGGAACTTGAGCTGGTACTTGTGTTACAAACTGAGCTGGTACTTGGGGTATTACCTGAGCAGGCACTTGAGGTGTTATTTGAGCTAGAACTTGTGGTGCAATCTGAGCTGGTACTTGATATGGAACTTGAGCTGGTACTTGTGTTACAAACTGAGCTGGTACTTGGGGTATAACCTGAGCAGGCACTTGAGGTGTTATTTGAGCTGGAACTTGTGGTGCAACCTGAGCTGGTACTTGATATGGAACTTGAGCTGGTACTTGTGTTACAAACTGAGCTGGTACTTGGGGTATTACCTGAGCGGAAACTTGTGGTGCAACCTGAACTGGTACTTGGGGTATAACTTGTGATGAAACTTGTGAAGGAACCTGAACTGGTATTTGAGTTACAGCTTGAGCTGGTGCTTGAGGTGCGATTTGAGCTGGAACTTGTGGTACAGCCTGAGGTGGTACTTGAGATATTATTTGAGCTGGAACTTGTGGTACAACCTGAGCTGGAACCTGGGGTATAACTTGAGCAGAAAACTGTGGGACAACCTGAACTGGTACCTGGGGTATAACTTGAGCTGTTACTTGTGGGACTTGATTTGGCAACTGGAATGGAATTTGAGCTGGTCCTAGTGGCATAACCTGAGCTGGAAATTGGTGTGTAACCTGACCAGGTGTTTGTGATGTTACTGGAACTGGTAATTGCTGTGCAACCTGAGCTGATACTTGGGATGCAACTTGAGTGGGTAGTTGTTGTGGAACTATAATATGCTGTTGGGCTGCAGCTTGAGCAGGTGCTTGTGATATAACCTGAGCTGGCTCTTGGGATGAAACTTGAGTTTGGTTTTGTGGTGCCATTTGAGTTAGTATTTGCGGTATATATTGAGGTGGTACTTGTGTTGTTGTGGATGTTGGCACCTGGGTTAGAACTTGAGCTGCTAATTGTGGTATGCCTTGAATTGGTACTTGAAATAATACTGCAGCTGACTCTTGGGGTGAACCTTGAACTGTTGCTTGTGATACAAATTGAATTGGCACTTGTGCTGCAAATTGAGTTGGTACTTGGGGTACAAATTGAACTGGTACTTGTGATGTTACGGGAGCAAGCGCCTGGGGTGGAACTTGAGTTTGTGATTGTGTTACAATTTGAGAAGATGCCTGTGGTACAGCCTGGGCTGGTACTTGAGTTATGACTTGTACTGGCACTTGTGGTGTTACTGAAGCTGACACCTGAGGTGGAAGCTGAGTTGGCACTTGGGGTGGAACTTGAGTAACTACTTGAGGCGCTACTTGTTGTACAGCTTGAGCTGGTGCTTGGGGTGTTACTTGAGCTGGTACTTGTGGCAAAACTTGAATTGGTGCTTGTTGTACAATGTGAGTGGTTACATGTGGTATGGCTTGAGCTGATTGTTGGAATACAACTTGAGCTGGTATTTGTGTTACTGGAACTGGCCCCTGCGGTGTAAGTTGAACTGGCACTTGGGATGCAGCTTGAGGTGCTACTTGTGGTACAGCTTGAACTGGTACCTGTGTTGCACCTTGAACCTGTGCTTGGGGTGTTACTTGAGCTGGTACTTGTGGTGCAGCTTGAGCTGATACTTGTGGTACAACTTGAGCTGGTATTTGTGTTACTGGAGCTGGAACCTGCTGTGAAAGTTGAACTGGCAGTTGGGGTGTAACTTGAGCTGGTACTTGTGGTGAAGCTTGAGTTGGTGCTTGGGGTGTAACTTGAGCTGGAGCTTGGAGTGTTACTTGAGCTGGTGCTTGAGGTGTTACTTGAGCTGGTACTTGGGGTCCAACTTGAATGGATACTTGTGGTAAAATTTGAGCAGGTAGTTGAGAAGAAACTTGAGCTGGTATTTGTGTTGTTGCAGCTGGCACCTGCGGTGGTAGTTGAACAGGCACTTGGGATGCAACTTGTGGTACAACTTGAGCTGGGATTTGTGGTGAAGTTTGAGCTGGTGCTTGGGGTGTTACTTGAGCTGGTACTTGTGGTCCAACTTGAAGTGGTGCATGTGGTACAATTTGAAAGGGTAATTGTGGTATAGCTTGAGCTGGTAGTTGGTATACAACTTGAGCTGGTATTTGGGTTGTTGCAGCTGGCACCTGCTGTGAAAGTTGAACGGGCAGTTGGGGTGCAAACTGAACTGGTACTTGTGGTACAACTTGAGGTGCTGCTTGTGGTACAACCTGAGCTGGGACTTGTGGTGCAGCTTGAGCTGGTGCTTGGGGTGTTACTTGAGCTGGTACTTGTGGTCCAGCTTGAATTGGTGCATGTGGTAATATTTGAAAGGGTACTTGTGGTATTGCTTGAGCTGGTAGTTGGTATACAACTTGAGCTGGTATTTGGGTTGTTGCAGCTGGCACCTGCTGTGGAAGTTGAACAGGCAGTTGGTGTGCAACTTGAGCTGGTATTTGTGTTACTGGAGCTGGCACCTGCTGTTGAAGTTGAACAGGCACTTGGGGTGCAACCTGAACTGGTACTTGTGGTGCAGCTTGAACTGGTACTTGTGGTGCAGCTTGAGCTGGTGCTTGGGGTGTTACTTGTGGTGCAGCTTGAGCTGGTGCTTGGGGTACTTGGGTTGGTGTTTGTGTTGGCACTTGAATTGGTGTTTCTGGCAATAGGGTATGGTTAGGCATCTCGAATACCCATTGGCAAAACTGGTAAGGTGGTAACTGCTGTGTAACTTGAAGTAGCTGTTGAGGAAGAATCTGATAATATGTCTGAGGTGGCAATTGAGGAATTCCCTGAGATGAGGCTGAGGCCTGAGGAATCAGCTGAGGTAGTGTCAACTGAGAGGGTTTCTGTGATGCTAGTTGAGGCAGCACCTGTACTGGTACCTGAGCTGGGAAGGTTTGTTCAGGAAGCACTTGTGTAGTTATTTGTGTTGGCAACTGAGGCACTACCTCAGATGGTATTTGAGGTGGGAGGGGTTGCTGGGTAAGCACCTGTGTGGTGACCTGTGATGTAATTTGAGGAAATAACTGAGGTTGTGCTTGTGGTGGCAGCTGAGGAAGTGCCTGAGGTATTGCCTGTGACAAGAGTGTTTGCTGTGGAGGTGCAAGAGGTGGTAGATGAGGAAGTACCTGAGTTGGTGCCTGAGGTGGGGAGGTCTGCTGTGAAATCACTTGTGTAATTATCTGAGGTGGTAGCTGAGGAGGTGCCTGAAGGGGAACCTGTGGTGGCAGCTGAGTAAATACCTGATGGGGAACCTGGGGTGGCAGCTGAGGAAGTACCTGATGGGGAACCTGGGGTGGCAGCTGAGGAAGTACCTGATGGGGAACCTGGGGTGGCAGCTGAGGAAGTACCTGATGGGGAACCTGGGGTGGCAGCTGAGGAAGTGCTTGAGGGAATGCCTGAGTTGATAGCTGAGGAAGTATCTGGGCTGTTGTCTGTAGAAGGGTTGCCTGGGATGTTTGCTGAGGATGTGTTTGTGAGGGTGCCTGAGATGGGAACTGAGGAAGTATTTGAAAGACTGGCACCTGCAGTGGTGCTTGAATTTGAGGTTGCTCTTGCTGAATGTGACTTGATATTTGACCTAGAACTTGCTGTGATATTTGATTTGGGCCTTGTGCTGTCAGTTGATGAGGGACTTGAGTAGATGCTGGAGATAATTGAGGCAGATTAATGGGTACTTGTTTTATAGGGACTTGTTCCAGGGCTGCCCATGGAAATATTACATGTGTTACCGGAGGTTGCACTTGTGAGGGTAGTTGGGTCTGTGGTGCTTGAAGTGGCATTTGAGGTAATGTTTGGACATTGACTTGGCCTTGTGGCTGTGCCTGTTGTACTGTAGTTGGTGACTGAGATGGCACCTGTTGCACTGTTACTTCCTGTGTTGGAATAGGTGCTTGAAGTGGCACTTGACTTTGTCCTGGTGTTTGAATTAACACTTGGCCTTGTATCTGTTGTGGTGGAGCTAATGTTTGGGTCGGCACTAGTTGTTGAGGGATTTGTGTGGCATACACTTGTTGCTGCTGGATGGTAGGTGGCTGTTGCTGGATGGCCTGCTGTGTAATACCTGATCCTTGGGTTGACTGCTGATTGTTGACCACTAGTTGCTGCGTTTCCGAACTCTGTTGCAGAGGCCCACACTGTAGATTTTTTTCATTTTCTTTTAACAGGTATCTGTTATATGATTTGGCTATAACACACACCAAAGTGATGAACTCATTAAAGCTAATTTCTCCATCACGATTTCGGTCCACAGCTTTCATGACTAAATTCATGGTCTCTGCATCTCCTGTGTTCTATAAAATACAAAAATACAAAAATAATTAAAAACTTAATTATTTAAGGAATATACAGGTTAAAAGAATAGACCTAAAATGTTGATTTTAGCCATCAGAATTAATCAAGAATAAAGGTAAACACAATTTGATGCCTAAACATGTCTGTTTCTATTTGTCTTTGGTGCAATATTTTAACATTGTCTTGTACTCAATAGCCTCCTAATTTATTCCCCAATTTATTGTACAGAGGTGAAAATAAATAAAGAAATAAAACATATATGTAAAAGTAACAACCCCTTTTTTCTACCTGTCAGCACTATAATCGTTGCAGACTGCTGTAGTGGTTATGGTGCCAATAGTGTCATGGCAGCTTCCCACAGTAAGTAGTCAGATCATTTTAGTACAGTTTGACAACTTGCCTGGGTCCCACTGGGCACCTGCAGCCCCTGCTTCTAGTCACCCACAGAAAAATCCCTTTAGCTTTATAGAATTGTACAGGACCGTGCTTATGGGCTGAGAGTATCTTAGGCCATGAGCGCATTTCAGTATCACCCGTGTTTTATTCTAAAGGACAGCTGGCTTACAGATGGCTTGCAAAGTTGTCAAAACTGCACTTAAATGGCTTGAATAATTACAGTGGGATGGTGCCAGTACACTCCTATCCAGATATCTCGATAAGATGTTGTGTTTATGGTGCCTGGAGCGTTCATTTAAGCAATGTGTTCACATGAGAGTCTTAGACTTTTGCATTATTATGAACACAATGTCCTGGTGCCCTAATTAGAAGTTAAATGGAGCATTTCAGAAATCACTAGGAGCAGTTCAAACATTTGTTTGCCCACCATGAAAAAAGAGTATTTGATAACGATAGAATCTTTATGGTAAATTCATTTTGACCGTGTTGGAATTTCAATGAATTTCCAATGCAGTCAAGAGATATACTGAGACAAAGTATGGAGGGAGCTACCACCGTCCAGCAGTGTCAATCCCCCCCAGCCTTCATCAGTGGCAGCTGCAAGGAATTGGGTCTGTCTATGGAGGATTTTGCGGTCCTCCAACAGCGAGGTCGTTTTTTTTACTTTGAAGCATCAGGAGTTGAAGAGGACCTGCCAGAGAAAGATGCCACTGCCTGCGATGAATAGGATCAGGTAAATAAAGCTCATCTTTACCTGTCGCCTTACCACTGGGCCACATGCGGCAATGTCACCGTCGGGAGTCTTTGCAAATTCTGCAAAGTCCTAAGAAGGTGACAGTGACGCTTTAAGGACAGAGACAATTGTACAAATCCTGAACAAAAACAAAACCTGCAATATGACTATATGTTTGTTAAACGATAATTTATCTCTTTAATATTAACTGCACCCACACTTATTATATACAATAATTTTGTTCATGAGAAATAAGATTTCCTTTCACATCAAATATTTATATATGAAATATAATTTAATATGAATAAAATCAAAAAAAGTGTGAGAAATTAAGACATTTTCCAAGTTCTACATGGCAGTTTAACTGTGAATGTCGTAATAGTTTTGTCTGCAATTAACTAAACATCATTGTGTTCAGCTATGTCTCACGAATAGTGATGTCCCGAACTGTTCGCCGAAAAGTTCGGTTCGCCACGGACTCATCATTGAGTAAACTTTGACCCTGTACCTCACAGTCAGCAGACACATTCCAGCCAATCAGCAGCAGACCCTCCCTCCCAGACCCTCCCACCTCCTGGACAGCTTTGGTTTGCAAATTAAATTATCTGGATGTTCTGCCTTGGTTGCAAAGCAGGTCTATAAAATTGTAATTAATAAAATCACATCATTATGTAACAATATTACATAAATATAACTAAAATTAAAAACATTTTAAATATGCATGTAATTTCATTCTAAATGTATATGTATGTTTAATTTTCACACAATTAAGTGATATTATTAGTTTTTTGTTGGGGGTCTGCCTGACAACCTAGGCAGTCCTTCTGCAGTCAATCTGTCAATCAAGCCAATTCAAGGCATGTGATCACATAGCACACCCTGACGGCGCTAAAGCCCTCCTTTTGTAGGACGTAAAAGCACACCCCAAAATTGGGAAAGGGTTAGCAATGAGTCTGTCTGCTTTGTTGTAAAAAGGGAGATAAAATTATAGCTCTGTTGTACTATATAAAGTATGCCTACCATTTATCCCCCCCAAAAAACAATGTCCATAATTTACTATTTTGCCATTGACAATAGATTTTTCTTATTTTTCTTTGTTATGACAAGACTTATCTGGTGGGGTGCTGCCCTAAGTGCCAATACGGACATGCCACCACTACTTCTAATCAAAGGGATAGAGAAACAGAAGACTACATTACTCCCACCATAATACAGCCAATCACTATTATTTGACCAACTTTGCAAAAGGAAACAGTAAAACAGTGCAGGCTCATAACATTATTTTTATGTAATCACCTTGATTGCTTCAGAGAGCTCATCCTGTATGAGCTGCTCCATTTCTGCAGGTTTGAGGTTTTGTCCAGGACAGGGACTTTGGGAGTACTTCCGGAAGACCTCCAGGATGCTTTTAATTGCTTGCATTAGGTTTGACATTTTTTGATGTTGCTGTTTAACCTATAATGAGACAAGAGACTGTGAGATTACAGTGGAATCTTTCAGAACTTTGTAAACAATGTCTGTCTACATCTAGAACACACATATATATTCAGAAATTTCCTTAAGAGTTTTTTTCCCAGTTCCAAAATGGTCTCCTTTACACTAGGGAAAGCAGTATTATAGGTGAAACTATTTATTGTGGTATTTGCCAGGGCTGTGATGAATATGATGTATGTGTTTCAACCGTCGAGGTTACACCAGTGTTAATATCACTGCCCTAGACCATGGAAACGCCTGAATCCAAGTCAGATCATCTTACTAGTAAGTGTTATTTGGCAAGATCCCTAATGATATATATATGCATATCTCAAAACCTCACAGATTGTAAGCTCATTTGATCACGGTTTAAAATATCCTCTTCTTATAACTGTAAAATGCTGCAGAATAAGTTGGCGCTATATAAATACTACTGATAATACTAAAATAACCCATGGTCATTTTAGAGGCTAAGCACAGTAGTAAAGAATCAGTGGGCTAGCTATCTCAAAGTGCATCACCAACACACTAACTTCAATGCTATAATAATTTGAACGTAGTACTTAAAATCCTAAATATGATAAGTGTTTGCATAAAAATTGTGATTCACATCTGGCAATTAATTCAAATTAAAGTTGAATATTTATTAAGTTAGGATATTTTAGTAAATATATGTAAACAATATTTTTATAACCACTGTTGAAAGATAAAAATAAAAAAAAATAGTAGGTGTGCTTTGGAGTTTTCTTTATCTTATTGAATTGTTCCTTGGTAAACTAAAATATTGTGAATCACTGAGTTAGAAAAGCATTTGGTGATTATTAGTGGTTATTGTATCAATATAGGAACTATACAAAGTTTTGGGAGAGATTATTTGGGGAGGAGCTGTGAGTTGTTTAAGGAGGAGTTGTAAGGAGTGATTAGAGGAGGAGTTAGGGAAGAGTTATGAGGAGTGATTAGAGGAGGAGTTATAAGGAATGATTCGAGTAGCTGTAAAGGATGAGTTATAAGGAGTGATTAGAGGAGCAGTTAGGGAGGAGTTATAAGGAGTGATTAGAGGAGCAGTTAGGGAGGAATTACAAGGAGTGATTAGAGGAGGAGTTAGGAATGAATTATAAGGAATGATTAGAAGGAGGAGTTATAAGAAATGATTCCAGTAGCTGTAAAGGATGTTATAAAGAGTGATTAGAGGAGGAGTTAGGAATGAATTATAAGGAATGATTAGAAGAGGAGTTATAAGAAATGATTCCAGTAGCTGTAAAGGATGTTATAAAGAGTGATTAGAGGAGGAGTTAGGGGGGAGTTATAAGGAGTGATTAGAGGAAGAATTAGAGAGGAGTTATAAGGAGTGATTAGAGGAGCAATTAGGGAGGAGTTATGAGGAGTGATTAGAAGAGGAGTGAGTTATAAGGAGTGATTAGAGGAGCAGTTAGGGAGGAATTACAAGGAGTGATTAGAGGAGGAGTTAGGAATGAATTATAAGGAATGATTAGAAGAGGAGTTATAAGGAATGATTCCAGTAGCTGTAAAGGATGTTATAAAGAGTGATTAGAGGAGGAGTTAGGGGGGAGTTATAAGGAGTGATTAGAGGAAGAATTAGAGAGGAGTTATAAGGAGTGATTAGAGGAGCAATTAGGGAGGAGTTATGAGGAGTGATTAGAAGAGGAGTTATAAGAAATGATTCCAGTAGCTGTAAAGGATGTTATAAAGAGTGATTAGAGGAGGAGTTATAAGGAGTGATTAGAGGAGCAGTTAGGGAGGAGTTATGAGGAGTGATTAGAGGAGCAGTTAGGGAGGAGTGATAAGGAGGATTAGAGGAGGAGTTATAAGGAGTGATTAGAGGAGCAGTTAGGGGAGGAATTACAAGAGTGGATTAGAGGAGGAGTTAGAAATGAATTATAAGGAATGATTAGAAGAGGAGTTATAAGGAATGATTCCAGTAGCTGTAAAGGATGTTATAAAGAGTGATTAGAGGAGGAGTTAGGGGGGAGTTATAAGGAGTGATTAGAGGAAGAATTAGAGAGGAGTTTAAGGGAGTGATTAGAGGAGCAATTAGGGAGGAGTTATGGAGGAGTGATTAGAAGAGGAGTTATAAGGAATGATTCCAGTAGCTGTAAAGGATGTTATAAAGAGTGATTAGAGGAGGAGTTATAAGGAGTGATTAGAAGCAGTTAGGGAGGAGTTATGAGGAGTGATTAGACGAGGAGTTATAAGGAGTGATTAGAGGAGGAATTAGGAAGGAGTTATTAGAGGAGGAATTAGGGAGGAGTTATAAGGAGTGATTAGAGGAGCAGTGAGGGAGGAGTTATAAGGAGTGATTAGGAGCAGTCAGGGAGGTGTTATGAGGAGTGATTAGTGGAGGAGTTAGGGAGGAGTTATGAGGAGTGATTAGAGGAGCAGGTAGGGAGGAGTTATGAGGAGTGATTAGAGGAGCAGTGAGGGAGGAGTTATAAGGAGTGATTAGAGGAGCAGTTAGGGAGGGGTTATAAGGAGTGATTTGGAGCATTTAGGGAGGTGTTATGAGGAGTGATTAGTGGAGGAGTTAGGGAGGAGTTATAAGGAGTGATAAGAGGAGGAGTTAGGGAGAAGTTATAAAGAGTGATTAGAAGAGGAGTTATAGGGAGTGATTAGAGGAGGAATTAGGAAGGAGTGATTAGAGGAGGAATTAGGGAGGAGTTATAAGGAGTGATTAGAGGAGCAGTTAGGGAGGGGTTATAAGGAGTGATTAGGAGCAGTTAGGGAGGTGTTATGAGCAGTGATTAGTGGAGGAGTTAGGGAGGAGTTATGAGGAGTGATAAGAGGAGGAGTTAGGGAGGAGTTATGAGGAGTTAGTAGAGGAGCAGTTAGGGAGTAGTTATAAGGAGTGATTAGAGGAGCAGTGAGGGAGGAGTTATAAGGAGTGATTAGAAGCAGTTAGGGAGGTGTTATGAGGAGTGATTAGTGGAGGAGTTATAAGGAGTGATTAGGAGCAGTTAGGGAGGAGTTATGAGGAGTGATTAGAGGAGGAGTTATAAGGAGTGATTAGAGGAGGAATTAGGAAGGAGTTATTAGAGGAGGAATTAGGGAGGAGTTATAAGGAGTGATTAGAGGAGCAGTGAGGGAGGAGTTATAAGGAGTGATTAGGAGCAGTTAGGGAGGTGTTATGAGGAGTGATTAGTGGAGGAGTTAGGGAGGAGTTATGAGGAGTAATTAGAGGAGCAGGTAGGGAGGAGTTATGAGGAGTGATTAGAGGAGCAGTGAGGGAGGAGTTATAAGGAGTGATTAGAGGAGCAGTTAGGGAGGGGTTATAAGGAGTGATTAGGAGCATTTAGGGAGGTGTTATGAGGAGTGATTAGAGGAGCAGTTAGGGAGGAGTTATAAGGAGTGATAAGAGGAGGAGTTAGGGAGAAGTTATAAAGAGTGATTAGAAGAGGAGTTATAGGGAGTGATTAGAGGAGGGATTAGGAAGGAGTGATTAGAGGAGGAATTAGGGAGGAGTTATAAGGAGTGATTAGAGGAGCAGTTAGGGAGGGGTTATAAGGAGTGATTAGGAGCAGTTAGGGAGGTGTTATGAGCAGTGGTTAGGGAGGAGTTATGAGGAGTGATAAGAGGAGGAGTTAGGGAGGAGTTATGAGGAGTTAGTAGAGGAGCAGTTAGGGAGTAGTTATAAGGAGTGATTAGAGGAGCAGTGAGGGAGGAGTTATAAGGAGTGATTAGAAGCAGTTAGGGAGGAGTTATGAGGAGTGATTAGAGGAGGAGTTATAAGGAGTGATTAGAGGAGGAATTAGGAAGGAGTTATTAGAGGAGGAATTAGGGAGGAGTTATAAGGAGTGATTAGAGGAGCAGTGAGGGAGGAGTTATAAGGAGTGATTAGGAGCAGTTAGGGAGGTGTTATGAGGAGTGATTAGTGGAGGAGTTAGGGAGGAGTTATGAGGAGTAATTAGAGGAGCAGGTAGGGAGGAGTTATGAGGAGTGATTAGAGGAGCAGTGAGGGAGGAGTTATAAGGAGTGATTAGAGGAGCAGTTAGGGAGGGGTTATAAGGAGTGATTAGGAGCATTTAGGGAGGTGTTATGAGGAGTGATTAGAGGAGCAGTTAGGGAGGAGTTATAAGGAGTGATAAGAGGAGGAGTTAGGGAGAAGTTATAAAGAGTGATTAGAAGAGGAGTTATAGGGAGTGATTAGAGGAGGGATTAGGAAGGAGTGATTAGAGGAGGAATTAGGGAGGAGTTATAAGGAGTGATTAGAGGAGCAGTTAGGGAGGGGTTATAAGGAGTGATTAGGAGCAGTTAGGGAGGTGTTATGAGCAGTGATTAGTGGAGGAGTTAGGGAGGAGTTATGAGGAGTGATAAAAGGAGGAGTTATGAGGAGTTAGTAGAGGAGCAGTTAGGGAGTAGTTATAAGGAGTGATTAGAGGAGCAGTGAGGGAGGAGTTATAAGGAGTGATTAGAAGCAATTAGGGAGGTGTTATGAGGAGTGATTAGTGGAGGAGTTATAAGGAGTGATTAGGAGCAGTTAGGGAGGAGTTATGAGGAGTGACTAAATGAGGTTAGGGAACAGTTTTGAGTGGGCAGGGGAGGAATTATAAATTTAAATATTTAGGCATTTTTTTCTTAATCCCATTAATTTCAACCTTGAATATCATCTATAAATTGTGTTAACCTGATGCTCTGTTCCTTTATTATAAATATTTAGTGAATTACAACATTATCCCTTTCAGATAAATAAACATGGTTTAATTTCTCCTATCACTGTATGCTTGCTTTATGCTGACTGGTACCCAAGACAAAGTTTACAGCAATGATTGGTGGCAAGCTAAGAGGGAAGAACCTAAATAGGCTTCTACATTTATTGTTATTTAATAACTCACAAATACATAATTGTTAAATATAGGCATAAGGAAACATAACATTAAAAAATCTGATAAGTGACAATTCCCCATTACATAGTTACATAGCTGAAAAGAGACATCAGGTTCAGCCTTCCTCACATTAGTTTTTTGCTGTTGATCCAAAAGAAGGCAAAAAAAGCAAACAGTTTGAAGCACTTCCAATTTTGCAACAAGCTAGGAAGAAAATTTCTTCTTGACCCCAGAATGGCAGTCAGATTTATACTTGGATCAAGCAGTTATTACCCTACATTGAAAAATTATATCCTTGAATATTCTGTTTTTGCAAGTATGCAACTAGTAGCTGTTTGAACATCTGTATGGACTCTGATAAAACCACTTCTTCAGGCAGCGAATTCCACATCCTTATTACTCTTACTGTAAAAAAAACCTTTTCTTTGCCATTATATAATAATTATAAAAATAATCATTATTATTGCATAAATGCAGATATTGTTTAAATTGCTATTCTATTTAGCTATTTATGTATTTGTATAGGCTGAAAAAAGACTAGCATCCATCAAGTCCAGCGACAAAAAAACCCCCACTGCTTTCTAAATTTGCAACAAACTAGAAAACCAAAAACCGTTCCTCATCCCAGAATGACAGTCAGATCTCTCCTTGGATCAAAGCTATGGATGGAACAGGTATTTACAAATTCCATCAGTTTTTTTTCTCCACGGTCACCCTTGAACAATTGTGATATTATAAACATTTATTTATTCTCTATGCCTAGTATTTAACAGGGTTTACATAGAACTAAGACTTAAACTGTATTCCTACAGACAACCATTTGACTTTCCATATTTTCTAGCATTAGCCATAGAGTGTAAGCTCTGTACAAAGGATATAGTCTGCCTTGACCATTTCCCGTCATTGTTCAAACATTCTCAGACACAAAGTACATTTAATACAACTCAACACCTGTCCACAAGTTGGAATTTCTCTAAAGATTCTGTTATAGAATGTATGATAGACATGAACTTGCAATCCCTTCCATAGAATAACATGGAATTTGGGGCAATTCAAGACATAATAAAGTCAAATCTGTATGCAGATACTAGACAGTGAGGATGCTCTGCATTGTCACAGTGATCCAGGCAGAGAGTTTGCTTACCTGTGTGTTGAATGGAGTGCAGCGATGAGCAGTACAGCCATACAGTACAGAGCATAGCTACCTGATGCTATATATATACAGCGAGATGTCCTAATTCATGCACGCTGACACACACTCATCAGATGATGTAACCGTTCATGATTATACCCTCAGGTAGACACCAGTAATCTTCCCCACTAGAACCAGGGCCCATAAAAGTGACTTAACTGTGCATTACGCTTATTCTGAATGTATCATCACTCCCTCCCTGCTCACAATCATCTTGTGCACACATGAATTTCACAAACATACAGGGCAGTGAGGGTCAAAGCCACATGATATCATACCAAAATGATCTAATTAGGTGCCCACATTTAGTTTATACAGCAGTGCTTGTCACCGGCCCTCCCCCCCTTCACTAAAATCTGTTTATTTTGATTTTACTCCTATTAATTGTGCAGGTTAAAAATAATTACTAATGGGAAACGTGATTCAGATGTCAAACCTTTTTTTAATGATTTTGTTTACTAAAACTTAGTTCATTTGTGCCATATTTTATCTTACGAATTTATATATGAAATAGGAATGTTCTCTTTATACCTGACAACAGAATATACCCTTTACTTTGTTTAATATTCTTAAAACAAATAAAGTAAAAACAGCAAATATTAGTAAAGCTGTTTATAATAATGTAGAACGTGTTTCAGTATTTTCCAGTGAATTGCATTACGTGTCATCTGGGAGCTCTGCTTGACCTAAACTCTCAACATCAGGTCGCCCTCCAATTGTTTGTCCGATTTCCATATGTAATGTGTGTACGAGTGTCTTTTTTGTAGGAGGAAGTTTATTCTTTATTTGAATTAATGCTGTCCATACAGTTTTATTTTCTGCAGAATAATTGTCACAAAACCATGTCTGAATTACCTCTGGGTGATAGATAAATGTGGTTATTTTTGTAATGGCACAAGATGAGCTAAAAACCAGCTTTAGATTTGAGCGGGACCCACCAAAGGGAAGATTCACTGTTGTCTGTTCACAGTAGACTCTTGCACCTTGTTTTTTGGGCACAGATAAGGCTGATCAAAACACATAGGGTATACTGCTATATGCTGTATCCTTACAGCGATGGCTACACAGTGTACCATACATACTCTGTTTATGTTGGTGAGTTTTCATTACAGCATCTCAATGTTAACAGATGTGGTTTCCTTTTTTGGTTTTTTTTTAAGCTCATATTTTTATAGTGAACTAACAATTTTAGGCTTGTGCATGGATGAAAACTGTGACTTGTCAGAATAGTTTTATTAGAAAAGCCAATTTGGCAGAAACGAATTGCGTCCATGTTTTGGTTCGATTCGTCCAAATACCGTTAGCATATTTTTGTTGCAAACATAATTTAAACAACTGCTTTCATTTTGAAGGGGAGGTGCATGAGGGCAATATAAACATCCCCTACACTAATATTGCAAGGACATATTATTATAACCCCCATAGGGTTTTAGTTCAGTAGTTATCTCTCCTGAACTAAGCGTGCACATTTAATTCTACCCATTATGGGGTAGTTCCCTCCTTGTAAGTAGAGGAATGCTGAATGAACAAATGTTCATCCATAGTCACTTGGTTTTACGGTCATTTTGTGCAAATTGCATCTAGTTCATTCATGTTTCTTACAGAATGAATGCCTAAGTCTAAACATTTTTCATTCATCATACTAGATTTTCCTTTTATGTTAACTGTTTTTTTTTTTTTTTTTTTGCACCTCTGAGATCACCAGAGCAATATACATGGTACCAGACATTTGATTATTTATGTCCCTATTGCTTTCTCTATAATAGATTTATTCCAGTTATCAGTCTTATTAGGGAAGGCATAGGAGTGCGCCAGTTTAAATAAAGTGTGTATAGGGCCATTTTTTCCACCATTTTCATTAATTTGTGACAGTTTGGGTTATTTGCTACCAAGTGAAGAGACATTTCATAAAAACGATACACCGTGGTTGTCAATCCACAATATGTAATAAATTGCATTTAGTGTCTAATTTTTTTATTTTGTAATTTCTAAATATGTTTCAAATTTAAATGAGAAAACTTTGACTATGACTGGGTATTTAATACACAGATTCCTCTTATTTAATTTTTTTTTTTTTTTAACATGACAAGTGTCTTTTTTTTACTTTAGCTCGAGGTCTCCCATTGTTAAAATAAAAAGATTGAAAAAAAGCCTTTAAACACTCATGTAATTCAGCACTGGGGCAGTTCCCTTACACTCACTCTCAGTGAATTCATCTGTATGATATGCGTCTGATAAAGACACATTATGGCACATGTGCATCAATCGCCACTTTACCATTTAAATGCTTTTTCATAGAGAAATATTGAATAAACGCTGAACAACGCTGGTTATTGCTGGACTCTGACTCTATCTAAATAGTTAGGAACTGCGCTGTATGTGGCCCATGACCTCTAAGATTAAGTTAGTGCAATGCGTGGCCTTTTGACGTATTTTGGGAGTTGTATTAGGAATTCCATCCTAACTACCAAGTCCTCACTGTAATCTGTAATGACCATAATAGTGTGTTATGTAAAAATATCGTGCAAAACTAAACACACAGCAAGCATGAAAAATATCCCAAGTATGAATTAACCATAGAAAAACAGGATTGTTTCACAATGATCCGTCTCATTGATTAAAAAGGAACAAATTAGCTCTCTCGTCACTAAGAATGGCTGAAAACCTGACCCGGAGCCCCCGTTCCCCCCGGAGCCCCTGGGGGTCATCCCGGTCCACCCCCAAGCTTCCCATGCACATCAGGGAGAAAGAGACAGTGCCATGGAGGCCCGAGTCTACCACCATCGAAGTGCACAAATTGGCGAAAACCTCCCGCACCACAGACCTGGACAGTGCAGGACTGACAACAGAACTCCGGCTGAGGGAGATTTTCGCCTCCTTCTGGAGGAAATTGGAGGCTCGCATGCGACCCCAGGTGCCTGAGTATATACCCTATAGCTCACCACAGAGCACACAATGAGCAGTCAAGCAGGGGGAAGCAATAACCACCCCTACCTACACACACGCAAATGGCCGGCACCAGCAAAGAGCGATCTGGGGACCTTGCTCCTGGAGCCTCACGGAGAACAGCAGTGTACCGGGGTCGGCGCCCGGAGCCCTCGAGACGCGTAAGAAACACTGCCCAAGGCCACCTCACCTGAAAGCCGAACCAAAGCATAAGAACCGGCAGGGTAAAGCTGGCCTGAACCGACCAGTGACACAGCAAGCTGAGAGACCCAATAAGGAGCACGCCTCAAAACAAACCGAGAACGGACTTACACTGCGGATGCAAAAGGCAAGCCCTGGAATTCCCAAGCGAGTAGCAGCCAGATCCAACCGGAGGAATGCCCAGAAACTGGGTTACCTAAGGGGACGTAATCTAGCTAACCCTTATGGGGGGACCAGTTGTCACCGGGCACAGCACACCATCATGGCCTGAAGCCGCAACCCCAGGATGCAGAGGCACTGAAACTGCAACTCACATAACACCCAGCAGCAGGACCTTTGGCATAACATACTGTCTCAGCTAGCACAGGGGGACACATGCAACCCCTGCAGGGCATCGGCTGACCTGACAAACAGGCCGGGAACCCTCAAACAGCCAACGTGTCCATTGTTTAGTGCCTATCTGAACTTTAGTTGAACACTCCCATACGTTCAGCATCTGCCACCGAGACAATCCGAACGCTCCAGGAATATTTGGGGGATCAAAAAAGGGGTCTAAGTTTATTTTATCTTTTGTTAGTTTATGCTTAATTATTTGTACGCATGCCTATTTTTTTTATGCTTTGTAGACGACACAACTACACTTCACATGCTCACACACTGATGATTTCTGGTTGCAACATATCCCCAATCTCCATGCATACTGACATCATAGCGGTAGCTCATCGTGCATGTTCAGCCAGTTATAACTGAGCTTGTTCCTAGTTAAGCACTCACATTTTATCTACCAGACGCAACAACACTGCGTAAAACTGCGACAGGTATGATGGCTATCTTTATGTAGTGACCGCTTAGTAGTATTATTTTTCACCCTTCATATAACTTTATGTCTGCAACATGTCTTCATCTCTCTGTTAGCAATTGTGCGACAAAGTACACTGCTTACACCTGTTCATATCATCCTCTGTTTTCGGCAGTACTTGTCTAACCATAAATGATTTAAGCCCACACTGACATCAGTACTAATCTCAGACTAATCAAAAATTAACTATCACGGCAGACACAACTCTTATATTGTTATTCTTTTACGTACATAACCCGTGCAGAGTTTCTTATAAGCATGTTTATTATAAAAAAATGTGCAGTATTAACTCATGCCATATAATGTTTTACCCTGAGCTGCTGGCATCTGCTGTTGTGGCAATACCTGCACGCATGTACTTTCTATGCACATCAAAAATAAAGAATAAAAAAAAAAAAAAGGGAACAAATTAATGTTTAGTTCTGCAAACCAAACCATTCAACATGAATTTTTACTGTTTGTTCCAATTGGAGATACCATCCAAACCTACGTACTTACTGGTAAAATCCTGGAAATGCTAAACAAAAATGTCAGAAACGTGTTCCCAACTTACCCTTCCGAAACAAAAAAAGTGGTGTTTGCACTCCCAGACTTTGGAAATACTACACCCATTTCTCTTGACCATTACTCTAGAGCAGGGGTCAGCAAGCTTTTTCCGCGTGAGGGCTGATATTTAAATGCTATGTGGATGGCATCTATATAGCTGAAAAAATGAAGATAATTCATGTTGTAGCTAGCCCCCAAATTGGGTGTTCTTGTCCTTTGGTATTGCCATCTGTAATTATACCAAATAAGGAAGGTATTTTTGCGGTTTAGTAGATGGCTCTCTAATTTGGTATGCTTACGTGGAATTGCCACATACAAGGATACAAAATTAGGGAACACTCTATTGGACTGCTGAATGATAAAAATCTAATAAAAGCCCTTTTCTTTTCCCAGTGCCACTTTCCCATCTCATCCATGTCATGCCTCTTACCTAGATT